CCCCCTTCGGTGTCCCCTCCAGCACCTGCCTCGCAGTTGCCGAGGGTCCCTTCAGCTCTGGCCTCGCGGTCACCTGCTGCCCCTGCGGCTCCTGCTTTCCGCCTGCCCGGGGTTCCCTCCAGCTTCCCGTTTCCCCCCGCCCTTTGCCTCCATGACCCCTGGTTTTGTGCCCCCTGTGTTTGCTCCCCATCCCTTTGTGCCTTTGTTCCCTTCTGGTCCCTGTCCTCCATTCGTTGGTGTGCCCCCTGGTGTCCCTTCATTCTCTCCTTCCATGGTGTTCGGTTCTATGTTCCCGTCCTTGGTGCCCCTGTTTGTGTCAGCGTTTGTTCAACTGTTGTCTGGGTTCTTGTCTTGTTTGTCCTGTGTGCAGTTGCTATTCCCTGTGTCCCGTTGATGGTCTTGCTTTTGTTTCCCCAGGTCCTGTGCTGTCCCCGGTTTCGCCCCCTAGGTCCCGTTAGGCGTGCCCGGACTGCGCGTCTTTGGGGGAGGGGGGTCCTGTCATGCCCAGGTCGTCCGCTTCTTCCATGTGTAAAACCCATCATCTACCTCGTGTGGAATCCCTGTGTTTACCAGCTGTTTCTTGTTGCTGTCATTAGTCCAATGTATTTAAGTCAGCATTAGGTATGTTTTCCCCAGTCTGGTCATTGAAGTCTGACATCTTGCGTCTGTTTGATGTTCCAGTTTTGTCTCCCATTTAATTAAACCTCTTTCACCCGATTCCTCACGAGCGTCTGGCTGCAGAAGGGGCCTGAGAGTACGTGTCCTCTGTCAGGCCCCATCCACTTTAAAGCCCCTACGTCATTTCCATTGGAACATCAGAATCCGTCTTGTCGCGATAGATTACAACTTGCCGACTGCCGCTATATAGAATCCATCTTGTCGTGCCTATAATTCTTAAAACGCGGTATGTATGGCTTAACAGTTTAAAAATTAATCATCACATCGAAATACACGTGTCGAACTCCTCTCCTTCCTACAGGCAACTCGTGTTTACCTTAAAGTCCTAAGCCTAGGTCTCAGTGACATAATAAATTCAGCCAAAGTCTGTGATACTTCTGTTGACATTCTGTTGGGTTTGAAAAATAAACAGCTTTCCTTTTGCTGTTTTATGAGGGGA